CTGTCCTCGCCATATAAGGTCAACATTTTATAATCGTCCGGCGGCGTCCATCAGCTTGAGCAGCCTCTGTGATCTCACCAGCGTACTTACCACCTCACCCACCCCACCACCCTCACCCACCCCATCCCCACCAGCCCACACCTACCCCAACATCCCCCACCCCCACCACCCACCCCCGCCCACCCACCACCCAACCACCTTCTCAACCAACACACCTTCTTCTTCCTAACCCACCCACCTATCCACCCGCCCATTGCACCCACCTTCTCCAAGCAACACACCTAGCCTACACTATCCAACTAACACACCCTTACGTATCCACCCACTATCCACATATCCACCCTATCCAAGGAAACACCCACTCACCCCAACCTATACCACATCCTACCCACTCAGGACACCACCCAAACCCCCACCCTACCCACTCAGGGACCCACCCAAACCCCCACCCTACCCATCACCTCAGGACACCCACCCAAACCCCCACCCTACCCACTCAGGACACCCACCCAAACCCCCACCCTACCCACTCAGGACACCCACCCAAACCCCATCCTACCCACTCAGGACACCCACCATACCCCCACCCTACCCACTCAGAAACTTACCTATCCAGATAACATACTCATGCTGTTTACCCATGCCACCCACCCCGCTAACCTGCCCATCCTGCCCACCCTGCCCACCCCGTCGAACCCGCCCACCCAGCCCACCACACCCACGGAGCCACCTAGTGATGCCTCATCTCTCAAACAACTTGCCCATATATCTCTCCGGTAGGTGAGGTTGTTGGGGTGATTTCTCTCTTCCTCTCTCTCCTCTCTCTCTCTCTCTCTCTCTCTCTCTCTCAATCAAGGTACAGTCTTCTCACACCTATAACCACAAAAATTTCACACGGGACCAACAGTAAAACACACCACCTGAACACACCTTATAATTAATTACCCACCTGAACCACCACTACACCTTCTATTGTTTACCTTAGCTTATCATAATAACCGCTTCATTCTCTAGGCTGTTTCCAATTAAAAACAAATAAGGATAACGTCAACCATTCTACGTTAAGTCCTTATGCAAGTTTCAATTCGTTTGTGATACTTAATACCAGAAATTATAAATATTATCATAACGTGAAGTTTGAACACCCCGGCTTTATTTTATTTACCTGTTGATTATATAAATACCTTAACTTACCTGAGGAGGGATGAGGAGGTTAGTTGTTAGGTTGATGTTAAGGTAGTTAGTTTAGTCATAAGGTTAATTAAGCTGGGAGGGTTAGGTTAGGTTGGTGTTTGGTTAGGTGGGTTAGGTTAGGTTAGGTTAAGTTAAGTAAGCTATAGGGGCAGGGGGTAGGCTAATTCTTCAGGTGATCCCACAGACTGTCTACATAATCCTACATAATCCTACATAATCTTACATAATCCTACATAATCCTACATAATCTACATATTTACATAACCCTGCATAATCTCACAATCCTACATAATCCTACATAATCCTACATAATCCTACATAATCCTGCATAATCCTACATAATCCTACATAATCCTGCACTAATCCTACATAATCCTCACATAATCCTACATAATCCTGCATAATCCTACATAATCCTACATAATCCTACATAACCCTGTAATCACCATAATCCTACATAATCCTACATAATCCTACATAATCCTACATAATCCTACATAATCCTGCATAATCCTACATAATCCTGCATAATCACCACATAATCCTACGCCATCCTACATACCCTGCATAATCACCATAATCCTACATAATCCTGCATAATCCTACATAATCTTACATAATCCTACATAATCCTACATAATCCTACATAATCCTACATAATCCTACATAATCTTACATAATCCACATAATCCCTACATAATCCTGCATAATCCTACATAATCCTCGCTAATCCTCGCAATCCTACATAATCTCATAACCTACATAATCACCATAATCACATAATCACGCCAATCACCATAATCCTACATAATCCTACATAACCCTACATAATCCTACATAATCCTACATAATCCTACATAACCCTACATAATCCTCATAATCCCACATAACCTACATAATCCTACATAACCCTACATAATCACCATAATCCTACATAATCTACATAATCCTCACCCCTACATAACAACCCTACATAATCCTACATAATCCTGTAATCCTACATAATCCTACATAATCTTACATAATCACCATAATCCTACATAATCCTCATAATCCCACATAACCCTACATAATCTCATAATCCTACATAATCCTACATAATCCTACATAATCCTACATAATCCTACATAATCCTACATAATCCTACATAATCCTACATAATCTTTACTACAAGTTATTTAGATATTCTAATAATTGTTCCTCTAATACAATAATTAACACCAGAGACCATCATGATCTTGGTGACGGAGAATTATAATAAAGAAAACACAATACAATACAATACAATACAATACAATACAATACAATACTTTACAATACAATACAATACAATACAATACAATACAATACAGTGCAATACAATACAATACAATACACAATACAATACAATACAATACAATACAATACAATACAATGCAATACAATACAATACAATACAGTGCAATACAATACAATACAATACAATACAATACAATACAGTCAATACAATACAATACAATACAATACAGTGCAATACAATACAATACAATAGAATACATTAAAATACAGTACAATACAATACATTACAATACAACACAATACAATACAATACAATACAATAAGATCCCCAATGACCCTCTGTATCATAGTGAGTCACAGAGATATTTCGTGAATTCTTACCTGTATGTTAATAAGCTTACCTCACTTAATTAATCATAAGTTACCTGTATGTTAATAAGCTTATCTCACTTAATTAATCATAAGTTACCTGTATGTTAATAAGCTTACCTCACTTAATTAATCATAAGTTACCTGTATGTTAATAAGCTTATCTCCTTAATTAATCATAAGTTACCTGTATGTTAATAAGCTTACCTCACTTAATTAATCATAAGTTACCTGGATGTTAATAAGCTTACCTCACTTAATTAATCATAAGTTACCTGTATGTTAATAAGCTTACCTCACTTAATTAATCATAAGTTACCTGTATGTTAATAAAACACCTCACTTAATTAATCATAAGTTACCTGTATGTTAATAAGCACCTCATTTAATTAATCATAAGTTACCTGTATGTTAATAAGCTTACCTCATATTAATCATAGTTACCTGTATGTTAATAAGCTTACCTCATAATTAATCATAAGTTACCTGTATGTTAATAAACTTACCTCCTTAATTAATCATAAGTTACCTGTATGTTAATAAGCTTACCTCACTTAATTAATCATAAGTTACCTGTATGTTAATAAGCTTACCTCACTTAATTAATCATAAGTTACCTGTATGTTAATAAGCTTACCTCACTTAATTAATCATAAGTTACCTGTATGTTAATAAACACCTCATAATTAATCTAAGTTTCCTGTATGTTAATAAGCTTACCTCACTTAATTAATCATAAGTTACCTGTATGTTAATAAGCTTACCTCACTTAATTAATCATAAGTTACCTGTATGTTAATAAGCTTACCTCTTAATTAATCATAAGTTACCTGTATGTTAATAAACTTACCTCACTTAATTAATCATGTTACCTGTATGTTAATAAGCTTACCTCACTTAATTAATCATAAGTTACCTGTATGTTAATAAGCTTACCTCACTTAATTAATCATAAGTTACCTGTATGTTAATAAGCTTACCTCACTTAATTAATCATAAGTTACCTGTATGTTAATAAGGTTACCTGACTTAATTAATCATGCCAAGGTAAGATGTTCCCTGCCTGACACACCTGCTATTGTTCTTGTGTAATTGAATCTCTCTTGTTGGATTGTTGTTTTTGCTTTGTGTTTGTTTTATCTTTGTAGTATTAATTGTTGTGTGTACGGACCTGCAGGGAGAGAGAGAGAGAAAGGAGAGAGAGAGAGAGAGAGAGAGAGAGAGAGTCACACACACACACACACATGTACAGTACAGCGGCTGTGTGTTAAATCCCCACACACACATCGTCTTACCGCTACAAGAGTCACCCCTAACAACATGCCTCTCGTGTCCTATGCAAACTTGACCTCTGACCTGTCTTGACCCAAACCAAATCGCTTTCACGGGACGACCATCTTGAAAATTCTACTGCAATATCTCAAAGACTTTACGAGTTAAGAACAATACTCCTACACACACACACACAGACAGACAGAGAGACAGACAAACAGACAGACAGACACACGCACAGAGACAGACAGACAGACACACGCACAGACAGACAGACAGACAGACACACTGAAAGCTATAGACATTATGGAGGATATTAACGAGTATATTTAGTGAATTTATTATATTTGTTCACGCCAAAAAAATGATCTCAGGTATACAGGTAATATTGATTGTCTTTATAATACGAGTTAAGGATATTTTTTTAAGACAAGTTTTACAGTGGCTAGTAACTTAACACTCAGCTGAAGATTAGACACCCCTCGCTTATTTTACCTGGCGGGGGTTAGGTTAGGTTAGGTTAGCGTTAAGGTGGTTAGGTTAGGTTAGCGTTAGCGTTAAGGTGGTTAGGTTAGGTTAGCGTTAGGTGGCTAGGTAAGTTAGCGCTTACAGTTTAAGGTAGTTAGGTTAGGTTAGCGTTAAGGTGGCTAGGTTAGGTTAGATTAGCGTTAAAGTGGAGGTAAGTTAGCGTTAGTGGTTAGGTTAGTTAGGTTAGCGTTAAGGTGGCTAGGTTAGGTTAGCGTTAGCGTTAAGGTGGTTAGGTTAGGTTAGCGTTAGCGTTAAGGTGGTTAGGTTAGGTTAGCGTTAGCGTTAAAGTGGTTAGGTTAGGTTAGGTTAGCGTGTAGGTAGTTAATATTCAGATGAACTAAGCCGGGGGTGTTTAATCTTCAGGTGATCAGAGGTTTGTATACATTAGCATATTTCTTCAGTAGAGACTCGTGGTGTAGTCTGTACATGACTTGGTGAATTATAATGACCAGTGAACACACCTGAGAGGAAACACACCTTTGGGGAAATTAGTATTCATTTTGGTGATGATGTCCTGGTGATGGTGCTCCCTGTGTCCTGGTGATGGTGCTCCCTGTGTCCTGGTAGATGGTGCTCCCTGTGTCCTGGTGATGGTGCCCCTGTGTCCTGGGTGATGGTGCTCCTGTGTCTTGGTGATGGTGCTCCCTGTGTCTTGGTGATGGTGCTCCTGTGTCTTGGTGATGGTGCTCCTGTGTCCTGGTGATGGTGCTCCCTGTGTCCTGGTGATGGTGCTCCTGTGTCCTGGTGATGGTGCTCCCTGTGTCCTGGTGATGGTGCTCCCCTGTGTCTTGGTGATGGTGCTCCCTGTGTCTTGGTGATGGTGCTCCTGTGTCTTGGTGATGGTGCTCCCCTGACTTCGTGATGGTGCTCCCTGTGTCATGGTAATGGTGCTCCCTGTGTCCTGGTAATGGTGCTCCCTGTGTCCTGGTAATGGTGTCCCTGTGTCTTGGTGATGGTGCTCCCTGTGTCCTGGTGATGGTGCCCGTGTGTCCTGGTGATGGTGCTCCCTGTGTCCTGGTGATGGTGCTCCTGTGTCCTGGTGATGGTGCTCCTGTGTCCTGGTGATGGTGCTCCCTGTGTCCTGGTGATGGTGCTCCCTGTGTCCTGTGATGGTGCTCCTGTGTCCTGGTGATGGTGCTCCCTGTGTCCTGGTGATGGTGCCCCTGTGTCCTGGTGATGGTGTGCTCCCTGTGTCCTGGATGGTGCTCCTGTGTCTTGGTGATGGTGCTCCCTGCCTGGTGATGGTGCTCCCTGTGTCCTGGTGATGGTGCCCCCTGTGTCTTGGTGATGGTGCTCCCTGTGTCTTGGTGATGGTGCTCCTGTGACTTCTGATGGTGCTCCCTGTGTCTGTAATGGTGCTCCTGTGTCCTGGTAATGGTGCTCCCTGTGTCCTGGGTAATGGTGCTCCTGTGTCTTGGTGATGGTGCTCCCTGTGTCCTGGTGATGGTGCCCCTGTGTCCTGGGTGATGGTGCTCCCTGTGTCCTGGGTGATGGTGCCCCTGTGTCCTGGGTAATGGTGCTCACTGTGTCCTGGGTGATGGTGCTCCCTGTGTCCTGGGTGATGGTGCCCCTGTGTCCTGGTGATGGTGCTCCCTGTGTCCTGGTGATGGTGCTCCTGTGTCCTGGTGATGGTGCTCCCTGTGTCCTGGGATGGTGCTCCCTGTGTCCTGGTGATGGTGCTCCTGTGTCCTGGTAATGGTGCTCCTGTGTCTTGGTGATGGTGCTCTGTGTCCTGGTGATGGTGCTCCCTGTGTCCCGGTGATGGTGCTCCCTGTGTCCTGGTGATGGTGCTCCCTGTGTCCTGGGATAGGTGCTCCCTGTGTCCTGGTGATGGTGGTGCTCCCTGTGTCCTGGTGATGGTGTGCTCCTGTGTCCTGGTGATGGTGTCCCTGTGTCCTGGGTGATGGTGCTCCCTGTGTCCTGGTAATGGTGCTCCCTGTGTCTTGGTGATGGTGCTCCCTGTGTCCTGGTGATGGTGCTCCCTGTGTCCTGGGATGTGCTCCTGTGTCCTGGTATGGTGCTCCCTGTCCTGGTGATGGTGCTCCCTGTGTCCTGAATGGTGCCCCTGTGTCCTAGTGATGGTGCCCTGTGTCCTGGTAATGGTGCTCCCTGTGTCTTGAATGGTGCTCCTGTGTCCTGGTAATGGTGCTGCCTGTGTCTTGGGATGATGCTCCCTGTGTCCTGGTGATGGTGGCTGCTCTGTCCTGGTGATGGTGCCCCTGTGTCCTGGTGATGGTGCTCCCTGTTCCTGGTAATGGTGCTCCCTGTGTCCTGGTAATGGTGCTCCCTGTGTCTTGTAATGGTGCTCCTGTGTCCTGGTAATGGTGCTGCCTGTGTCTTGGTGATGATGCCCCTGTGTCCTGTGATGGTGCTCCCTGTGTCCTGGTGATGGTGCCCCTGTGTCCTGGTGATGGTGCTCCCTGTGTCCTGGTGATGGTGGTGCCCCTGTGTCCTGGGTGATGGTGCTCCTGTGTCCTGGTGATGGTGCTCCCGTGTCCTGGTGATGGTGCCCCTGTGTCCTGGTGATGGTGCTCCCTGTGTCCTGGTGATGGTGCTCCCTGTGTCCTGGTGATGGTGCTCCCTGTGTCCTGGTGATGGTGCTCCTGTGTCCTGGTGATGGTGCTCCCTGTGTCCTGGTGATGGTGCTCCCTGTGTCCTGGTGATGGTGGTGCTGCCTGTGTCCTGAATGGTGCCCGTGTGTCTTGGTGATGATGCTGCCTGTGTCCTGGTGATGGTGGTGCTCCCTGTGTCCTGGTGATGGTGGTGCTCCCTGTGTCCTGGTGATGGTGGTGCCTGTGTCCGGTATGGTGTCCGTGTGTCCTTGTAATGGTGCTGCCTGTGTCCTGGTGATGGTGCTCCGTGTGTCTTGGTGATGATGCTCCCTGTGTCCTGGTGATGGTGGTGCTCCCTGTGTCCTGAGGTGCCCGTGTATTGATGGTGCTCCTGTGTCCTGGTAATGTGCACCCTGTGTCCTGGCAATGGTGCTCCGTGTGTCTTGGTGATGATGCTGCCTGTGTCCTGGTGATGGTGATGCTGCCTGTGTCCCTGGTGATGGTGGTGCTGCCTGTCCTGAATGATGCTGCCTGTGTCCTGGTGATGGTGCTCCGTGTGTCTTGGTGGACTGCCTGTGTCCTGGTGATGGTGGTGCTGCCTATGTCCTGGTAATGATGCTGCCTGTGTCCTGGTGATGGTGCTCCGTGTGTCTTGGTGATGATGCTGCCGTGTCCTGTAATGGTGCTCCCTGTGTCCCGTGATGGGTGATGCTGCCTGTGTCCTGGTGATGGTGATGCTGCCTGTGTCCTGTAATGGTGTCCGTGTGTCTTGGTGATGGTGCTCCTGTGTCCTGGTGATGGTGGTGCTCCCTGTGTCCTGGTAATGGTGCTGCCTGTGTCCTGGTGATGGTGGTGCTGCCTGTGTCCTGGGATGGTGGTGGTCCCTGTGTCCTGTAATGGTGGTGCTCCGTGTGTCTTGGTGATGATGCTGCCTGTGTCCGGTGATGGTGGTGCTGCCCCTGGTAATGATGCTGCTGTGTCCTGGTAATGGTGCTCCGTGTGTCTTGGTGATGATGCTGCTGTGTCCTGGTGATGGTGGTGCTGCCTGGTCCTGGTGATGGTGCTCCGTGTTCCTGGTGATGATGCTGCCTGTGTCCCGGTGATGGTGGTGCTGCCTGTGTCCTGGTGATGGTGGTGCTGCCTGTGTCCTGGTAATGGTGGTCCGTGTGTCGTGGTGATGATGCTGCCTGTGTCCGGTGATGGTGGTGCTGCCTGTGTCCGAGATGGTGCCCGTGTCTTGGTGATGATGCTGCCTGTGTCCTGGTGATGGTGGTGCTGCCTGTGTTCTTGGTGATGGTGCCCGTGTGTCTTGGTGATGATGCTGCCTGTGTCCTGGTGATGGTGTGCCCCTGTGTCCTGGTGATGATGCTGCCTGTGTCCTGGTGATGGTGCTGCCTGTGTCCTGGTGATGGTGCTCCGTGTGTCTTGGTGATGATGCTGCCTGTGTCCTGGTGATGGTGGTGCTGCCTGTGTCCTGGTAATGGTGCTGCCTGTGTCCCGGTGATGGTGGTGCTGCCTGTGTCCTGGTGATGGTGGTGCTGCCTGTGTCCTGGTGATGGTGGTGCTCCCTGTGTCCTGGTAATGGTGCTCCGTGTGTCTTGGTGATGATGCTGCCTGTGTCCTGGTGATGGTGGTGCTGCCTGTGTCCGGGATGGTGCTGCCGTGTCCTGGTGATGGTGGTGCTGCCTGTGTCCTGGTAATGGTGCCCGTGTGTCTTGGTGATGATGCTGCCGTGTCCTGGTGATGGTGGTCTGCCTGTGTCCTGGTAATGGTGCCCGTGTGTCCTGGTGATGGTGCCCCTGTGTCCTGGTGATGGTGGTGCTCCTGTGTCTTGGTGATGATGCTGCCTGTGTCCTGGTGATGGGTGCTGCCTGTGTCCTGGTGAGTTCTTGTGTCCTGGTGATGGTGCTCCCTGTGTCCTGGTGATGGTGGTGCTCCCTGTGTCCTGGTGATGGTGGTGCTGCCTGTGTCCTGGTGATGGTGTGCTCCCTGTGACCTGGTAATGGTGCCCGTGTGTCCTGGTGATGGTGGTGCTGCCCTGTCCTGTATGGTGTCCTGTCTTGGTGATGATGCTGCCTGTGTCCCAGTATGGTGTGCTGCTGTGTCCTGGTGATGGTGGTGCTGCCTGTGTCCTGGTAAGCCCGTGTGTCTTGGGTGATGATGCCTGTGTCCTGGTAATGGTGGTGCTGCCTGTGTCCTGGTGATGGTGGTGCTGCCTGTGTCCTGGTGATGGTGGTGCTGCCTGTGTCCTGGTGATGGTGGTGCCTGTGTCCTGGTGATGGTGGTGCTGCGGGTCAACCACTAGTATAGACTCTCCGTCAACCCACTACTTGATGTATGAGTCTTAAGTCTGATTGATAAGGCAATGTTACGTCGTACAGAGAGCACCACGATATATACTTGTGTGTGTGTGTGTGTGTGTGTGTGTGTGTGTGTGTGTGTGTGTGTGTGTGTGTGTGTGTGTGTGTGTGTGTGTGTGTGTGTGTGTGTGTGTGTGTGTGTGTGTGTGTGTGTGTGTGTGTGTGTGTGTGTGTGTTGGAACTAAGATTAATGGAGCTCTGATAGATTTGTGCTACTGTGTATTTGAATGAGATTATTATTATATTATTACCTTCTGTTACTGACTATTTTATTTGTATTTTTTTGTTTTGTTATTTTGTAGTTTGTTTATAATCTCTATAGTTATTTAGTTTTTAAGGAAATATACTTTCTCACAGTTACGGAGAGAGGAGAGAGAGAGAGCTAACTCTATATGTATATGATGTCCTCTCCCCTCACTTCTATCTCCCCCTCACCCTCTCCTCACCTCTTTCCTCACCCTTTTCTTCCCTCAACCTATTTCCATCACCTATCACCATCATCATCTTGTCCTCCCTCATCACCCACCACCACCGTCACCCTCCCTTCCCTCCATCACCCTCCTTCCCTACACTCCCACACAATCACCTCCTTCCCTCCATCACCCTCCTTCCCACCCCCCACCACCGTCACCCTCCCTTCCTCCATCACCCTCCTTCCCACACCCCCCCACCACCGTCACCCTCCCTTCCCTCCATCACCCCTCCTTCCCCACACCCCACCACCACCGTCACCCTCCCTTCCTCCATCACCCTCCTTCCCTACACCCCCACACCGTCACCCTCCCTTCCCTCCATCACCCTCCTTCCCTACACCCCCACCACCACCGTCACCCTCCATCACCCTCCTTCCCTACCCCCCACCACCACCGTCACCCTCCCTTCCCTCCATCACCCCTCCTTCCCTACACCACCACCACCGTCACCCTCCCTTCCCTCCATCACCCCTCCTTCCCTACACCCCCCACCACCGTCACCCTCCCTTCCCTCCATCACCCCTCCTTCCCTACACCCACCACCACCGTCACCCTCCCTTCCTCCATCACCCTCCTTCCCTACACTCCCACCACCAATCACCCTCCCTTCCTCCATCACCCCTCCTTCCCTACACCCCCACCACCACCGTCACCCTCCTCCCTCCATCACTCCTTCCCTACACCCCCACCACCACGTCACCTCCCTTCCCTCCATCACCCCTCCTTCCCTACACCCACCACCACCAGTCACCCTCCTTCCTCCATCACCCCTCCTTCCCTCACACCCCCACCACCGTCACCCTCCCTTCCCTCCATCACCCCTCCTTCCCCTACACCCCCCACCACCGTCACCCTCCTTCCTCCATCACCCCTCCTTCCCTACACCCACCACCACCGTCACCCTCCTTCCTTCCATCACCCCTCCTTCCCTACACTCCCACCACCAATCACCCTCCTTCCCTCCATCACCTCCTTCCCTACACCCCCACCACCGTCACCCTCCCTTCCTTCCATCACCCTCCTTCCCTACACCCCCACCACCAATCACCCTCCTTCCCTCCATCACCCCTCCTTCCCTACACCCCCACCACCACCGTCACCCCCTTCCTCCATCACCCTCCTTCCCCACCCCACCACCAATCACCTCCCTTCCTCCATCACCCTCCCCCCCACCACGTCACCTCTCTCCATCACCCTCCTTCCCACACCCCCACCACCAATCACCCTTTCATCACTAACACTTCTACACTGGCCAGACCACACCTGGACCCCCTTGGCGTACAACAATTCTCCAATACACCTCTAACCCTTCCCCCCCTCTATACCCCCTTCTCCTCCCCCTCACCCCTCAGCTGGGTTCTTCCCCTAGTTCGTGTCAGCCTCCCCCAGCTAACATGAACCTCCGGGATGTATATATGAAAGTGTATCTCAGAGGTGATAAGGCAATAAGTGATCTGAAAATTGCATCCCGTTCTCAGTGACAACCGCATCTCGTTTTCTTTAACACCACTATCTTGTTTGCATCACGTTTCTGTTTGCATCACGTTTCTGTTTGCATCACGTTTCTGTTTACATCACGTTTCTGTTTACATCACGTTTCTGTTGTCACCCACGTCCATTTTCTGTACATCCCCTACATATCTGTATTTTTTATCAATATTTTTTTTTTCTGCACATAATCACTTAAACTGTTGAACAATATTACACTGAGGTAACGAGCAGAGAAGATGACCGCCGGGTTCAATACCAAAAAAAAAAAGGTGCAGTGTGTTGTTGTTGGTGAGGTAGAGGGAGGGAACCGCAGCATCCCCTATTCCCAGCGCCCTCTACCTAGCCGATCGTTCAAGATGGCGGCGATAGGTGGACAGTGTGTGTGGAGAGTGATGAAGGGAGGGTGAGAGAGAAAGAGGGTGGTAGGAGGGGTCATCAGTCTATGTCAGGGCGGGCACACTTTTCCTAACTCGCCCCACTCGCCCCAGTCGCTCGCTCGCCCCTCCCGTCTTGGTTAAGGTCAGTTCAGGTGACGTTTGTCTCTGGCAAAGTATTGTGTGACCTTCCGGCCCCACACCTACATTCTTAAACTTCCGTGCCCACCTACCGGATCTGACCCCTCACCCCCTTTCGCCGGCCTCCCCTACCAATTGACCTCTGACCCCTCCTCCCTTTCTACTTGACCTCCCCTACCAATTGACCTCTGACCCCTCCTCCCTTTCTGCTGGCCTCCCCTCCAATTGACCTCCTGACCCCTCACCTCCTACCTCCACCTACCACTTGAACTCCAACCCCTCACTTTCCCTACCACTTTACCTCTTACCACTCACCTCCACCTACCACTTGACCCCTCACCCCTCAGGTATGCAATATTACTAACACTCATTACACATTATTATAACCAAGTGAAAAGGGCAACACCTGGGTCTGTGATTTATACAGGTAACCTAATTAATTAGTGTGATGGATGGTGCTGCCTCCTTCCATCCTGACTATAGATGGTGAGGGACTAAGGAAGAGAAAATGAGACACAGTGACAGGTAGATAGGTAGGTACACACACACACACACACACACACACACACACACACACATACACACACAACCGCCATGGTGGTGGGCGGTAGTCGGTATGTAGTGGATGATATTGGGTGTGCAAGTTGTGAGTGATGGTGGGTGGGCGGTGGTGTGATGATGGGTGGTGGTAGTGGGCGGAGGGTGGTGATAGGTGGCGGTGGGTAGTGGGTGGTGGTGGGCGGCGGGTTTGTGGAGGAAGGGAGAGAGAGGATGGGGGAAGAGGATGAATAAAAGGAAAGGAAAGAAGGAAGGAAGGAAGGAAGGTGTACAGTAATATGATACACAGTTACGTAATACATTTTTTGGTCACTGGAATAGAAAGAGAAAAAAAGGAAAGAAAAATGAAGG